AAATAATTGTTTGTATAAAAAAAACGAATTGTCTTTAAATTAAGTGGTGGCAGAAGAATTATCATTGAATTTTTAAAAGTTAAGGTTAAATATTAATGCAATACTTAAATGCAGCGATCAATTTTGAGTTCTTCTGTGGTTTTGTTGCCTATCGCATACAACAGCAGTATACCTCGCAAAAAAAGAAATCTCCACCAACAGAGGACCAGATCACAATCAAAAGAACCAAAGCTGCAGTGAGGAAAAGAAAGTTCCATGCAAATGAAAATCCAGATCAATTGGCAGCCAGGAGTACTTCTAATGCTGAGAATATGCAAAGATGTATGGACTCTAAAACTCCTGAACAAGCCAAAGGTTCAATTAAGAGCCCTCCACATGAGCTGGCTTAAATGACACCTGACAGGGCAGCTTTTATGCTATATATATATATATATATATATATATATATATATATATATATATATATATATATATATATATAAGTAACTCATTTAGGAAGGTTTCTTTTTCTGCTATTGACATAGTTGGACGTCTGGGCAAGTATTTTATATTGCTTTCGTTGATCTTTCTCTATGGCATATGTAACCAAATGGGAAAGGCTTTAATATTTAAAATTCAATATTTTTTTGTCATGTTCTCATTGGTTATGAAGTGTCATGTGGTGTTCTTATTACCATGTTCATGTGGGAATAACAAAGTTTGCTTTTACATGTTTATACTTAGACTTGATGAAATTGTAGTTGCTTATGGAATTTGAAAATGTATTTTTATTTACTTTTGCATACTTTGGGAGTCCCAACAAAATGCTATGGAAAGTAAAAAAATGTTTAAGAAAATTGTCTCCTGAAATTACATTTTCAAAGCATAAAAATATTTTTTCTTGTCTGGGCATTAATATGAGAAATTAGTCCTATAACTGACCAGCAACAAACTGTAAAAAAAAAAAAAAAAAAAGAAAAGTAGTATGTAAATTGCCACTCCCTTTTACTTTTGCTACAAGGAACAAAACATGTCCTCTATCTTTAGCATTTTTTATATAAAATTTTAAATGCAACTATATATATATATATATATATATATATATATATATATATATATATATATATATATCTCAATATCTCAAGGTGCGTTTAAAAGTGAAATATATTTTAATTACATTAAATTCCAAATATTTAAAAAAAAAAAACTTTTGTGTAGGCCTCCTTCTGGATGTTGGTAACTTTTTTTTTTTTTTTACTAAGAATTTGTTTTAGTTTTCAATGTCGACATATTGTTAAACTTCTCAAAATAATTCAGATTGACAAAACGCATCAGCAATGATTAAGAAATATATTTTCCAATTGTCTTCTTTTTATCCAAATTGTCTTATCTTCAGAATTCTTCTTAGAAATTTAACAAGTAAAAAAAACTTAGTGAAAAAAATTAAAAAAAAAAGTTACCAACAACCAGAAGGAGGCTTACACAGGAGCATTCCCTTTTTAGTATATATATCGTCACACCTACATGTTATAAATAATAATAGCTGGCCACTCGTATTTGAGGATGCCTGTCTACTAGGGTGGCTAGCCAATCCCTATACATACATAAATAGATACTTGCTTTTCCAACCCGTATTTCTCTAAACTTTTTACAAAATCTAACACTTCTAAGAATGCTTCATTCACTTAACTGTCATCATTGTTGTTATTAAATTTTATCCAAGTTTGCTAATGATGATGTTTTATTTTGGGTATGCAAAGGATAGTTCCCCCTTTCTTTCTCTCATTTACTATCAGCTGAAACATCAGCTTCCCTTTCCTGTAAAGGGGATTAACAGTAAACACCTTCATTTGACAATCAAAACAAGGCCAGTAACAATCAGCTATACCCTATGCAACAATTTCTTCATTGAAAACTGACCAGCAACAAACAAATTCTGTTTTTCTTTGACAATGCAAATTGTAATGAACCTTTACAAAGTCACTGTAACCACAAACATTGTCCGTCATGTGAATAATAATATGGTGGTGTAAACCTGATTGTGGTCAGTTTTATGTATGAAAATTTAAGTGTAAATATGCAGATGAAAAGTAGTGATAGTACACAATTTTCAATTAATAAGTCAATGTCCTTATTAACAATTCCAACTTTTTACATTTATATAAGTAACAAAGTAATCATTCTAAGTAATTTGTTAATCAAAATAAGTGCTGCATAATTCTTGTTTTCCCACCCAGATAGTCATGACATCTCAAAAAAATAAATATTTAATTGACAAGAAAGACTGTAAAGTAGACACTTCTTAATTCTAAATATCATTTCTTTCACTTAAGATGTTATGTGAATCTAATTTAAAAACATACAGTAATGCTTTCCATGAACTAAGAATTTAATCAACATTCAATAATTTGATCAAAACACCTTTTTTTAAAATCATTTCATGCAAATGGTTAGGGTAAAGATAAATCAATAAGCGTTGGATGATTCATCCAAAAACTGACTTGATCCAAAGAGATAAGAGTTTAATCCCTGACCTCAGCAGAGAGAACAAAATTTTGAAGAGTTATTAAGGTGAATTAACTAAAACTGAGATATCAAAAGGCATGGTATATGGAATTAGAACAATCTACCCACATGGACTAAATAAAGGGTTCAGTTTGAAATTCCAACAAATATTACCTGAAGAAGGCTGGAGAATACAATGGCCAAAACATTGTGACTGTTGCAGTAAAGATGAGGACAATAGACTAGACAATGGAAATAGTCTAAAAAGTATTACAATTTCAAACAAATTATTTCATCACCCTGGCCTTCTTCAGGTGATATGACCCAGTGGATAAAAGTGCTGGTAGATCCAAAAACTGACTTGACCCAAAGAGATACGAGTTCAAACCCTGACCTCATCAGAGAGAACAAAAACTTGGACAGTTATCAAGGTGAATTAACTAAAACTGAGGTATCCAAAAGGCATAGTATGTGGAATTAGAACAATCTACCCTGTGAACTAAATAATGGGTTCTGTTTGAAATTCCAACTAATATTACTTGAAGAAGGCTGGAGAATACAATGGCCAAAATGTTGTGAATGTTACAATAAAAATGAGGACAACAGTCCAAAAAATGTAAATAATGTAGAAAGTATTACAATTTCAAACAAATTATTTCATATTTTTTGTATTACTGTTGCTAAACAGCCTCAATCTTATAAATTTAGTAGAATTTATACTAAGTCGTGTATCTTAAAGAGTTTCAATTTTGCCACTAATGTAATCTTGCATGTCCCACTATCAATGTTAAAGTCTCAGGAAATAGGATATTGTATTTCCCTAGCAGATAATCCAAGAATTTGCTTTCTGAAGCACAGACAATATTTGAAGTCCGATATGTGTATCTAACAATCATTTGATTCATCTGGAGATTTGTATCCAATGAAACCCTGCAACTGCAGGAAGTGATATCTCTTTCAATTCAGGGTAAATTATATTTCTGAAGGCACAGAGCATTGCTGATATGTCTGGAGCTGCCCAATCTTCACTTTTTAGCCTTGACCTTGTGAGTGATAAATTATTCTCTATCTTACAACCCCTTTCTCCACAGATGAAATGTTTGCCAGCCTCTCGCTACTCTATTGCTATTTTCATGGTGGATTTCCAGAAAACTTAATTCCTTGGTTCCACTAGTCCTGCTATGCCATGTACACCGAATTGACTTTTCCTCATTCCCTTTGTATTCCATTGGTAAGGAGGAAGTTCCACTCAGAGAGCTTCTTCCCCTAGAACGGACACACTGTAGAAGAAACTTTGGGGATGATACTTCTTCAATAACTATAATCTCAACCTCTAGGGTCAACCATTATTTATCCTAATCGTAATAGGCACCTCTTGCTCCTTCCGTATAGGTCCTTACAACAAGCTCATTTAATAACACTCTGCCTTGAGTGGCTCGTGGGATTTGTATTGGGTGAACAATAGTCAGGGGGACAGAAAATTGCTGTTTTCATCTAGTTATATTGCATGCAATATTTAGGTTGATTTGGGGTGTTTGAAACTTTAAAATAAACTATTTGCAGTTACAAATTGTACACTAATGGAACTATGATAGAGGAAAAAAAAGAAAAGATTTTTTGTAACAGAAATGAGTTTTGAAAATACAATAATAAAAGAAGAACAGTATACAATGTAAAGATAAACATGAGAAGATATTAACACTCATAATTATTAATTAATTAATAATTAATGAAACTCAAAGTTGGATGGATGCTGCTTAATTGTCCCAGTATTGGTAAGAAAGAAAACACATTTCAAATAGCCTTTGACAACCAGGTCCAGCTCAAAACTGGAGAAGAGGCAAAGGCAGACCACTGGCGCCTCATGAACAGCTGCTTTGGGTAGATGGATCTCATTAGTCTGGGAGGGCAGTCAATCTAGGAGAAGAAAAACCCTGATCTTAAAACCCCCACAGCCTTGCAGTCATATCAAAACATGGAAAAGACTATAGCAGTAAATCCAGACAGAAAATCTGGGTGGATTCCCAAAGGCAGTTGATTGTCAACATTGACAAACTTCTGCTAACTCCTGCAGCTACGCTGGCCCCAAATGTAATGCTCTGTATTCCTTTGGATTTTGTAGGTAAGGCCAAGAATGGTGGGTATGCGGGTTGAGCAGTGTACAGGCTTCATATACTATGACCAGGTCTGTGTCTTAGAAAGTTTACCCCAGTCTCACCACCAAAGTACTGAATTTTGACCAAAGAGGTCAGTACCATTAACTCATAAGAGACACCGCTACTGACTGGTATAACAACAGTAGAGAATCATAAGGCCTGCACAGCATTGCTCACTCATGAAAAATTTTAAAAAAAAAAAAATATTAAATGTTTTATAAATATTGAATGCTCATTATTATTGTAGAAGTTTGAAAAAAATCCTATGACATAACATCAAGTAGCATCTGAAATCTCTCTCTTTACTGAACTTCTTAAATAAACATTCTGTTTAGTTATGCAAGGGAGATAAACACTCACCTGAGCAGTGGATGTGTTTGCATCCCGGCTTTTCAACTGGACAATATCATCTTGAGTAGCTGTTATAAATTCTCTGAAAATTTAGAAAATATAATAATAATAATAAACAAAATGATTGACGTAACTCTCTAAATATTTTTCAACAAACGTTGCTTCTCTTGTAATGAAAAGTGGCTGTGCTGGTAATGTTTGTACAAAGACTTATTTTTTTGTAGATTTATATATTTTTATACTTGAAAAAAATTTAAAAATAACTTGAAGACAGACATACAGTAAAAATATTGTCAAACACTTTTTCTTTTCTTAAATCACACTCTTCTCTTAACTAGTGTAATAATAATAATAATAAATAAATCACTATTTTTTTATCATTACATTATGAAAAAGACAAATCCAACACTCCAAACAATTAGTGACAAAACAAAAACAAACAAAAAAAAAAAGCCACCAATTCTTAAATTGCTAAAATTAAAGCCTGCAATGTTTTTTTTTTTTGCAGACATTTAAGAAGTTTTGGAAGGTTCCTCTATATATTAAAATCACTAAAAATAAAAAAAATAAAATTTTTATTTATATAAATTTCAGATCAATCTAATATATTCCATATATATATACTGGTGTATTTAAGTAAAAATTACAAGTGGATTTACATCCTTTAGATCTTAACCATCCCAATCAAGAGCAATATTACAGTTTCAATTAAAATAATTTTTGCTGTAAAACATCTTGGTCTGAACTATTTACATGTTTAAAGTATTGCTTGATAACAATGGCGTAGAAAAAAAAATGTTTTGTCGCCATCAAAACAAAGCAGAGTAGCCAGTGTTGATTTTTTTTTTTATTCCAAATTTTGTATCCTGAATGTTAATCAATAAAATCTAGAAAATAAACTCAATGAATGAAGCCATAAAAAAAAAAAAAAAAAGTAGCTTCTCCATCAACAGTTTTTTTTTAAGCAAAGCTTCATGTCCAAGAAAAATCAATATCTGTAAAATATATGAAAGATCAAATTGCTTTTTATGTAAAAAATAAACCAAGTGGGAGGAAATATCAAAGAAAATATCACATTTAAAAAAAAAAAAAAAAAAATTCATGAGAGAGAGTGAGACAGACAGACATAGTAGTGAAGAGGGAGAGGGAGATAGTGAAAAGGTGGAGGAAAGGGAGGAGACAGTCAGAGAGAGAGATGTGAAAGGGGATACAGAGAGGAGGCAACAGAGAGAGAGGAGTAAAGAAAGATCACATGGGAAAAGAGATGGGGAGAGGGAGAAAGAAAGGGGGGAGAAAAAGAAGACATTGTGTTAAAAAAAAACAAAAAAAAAACAGAGAGCGAAAGGCAATGGGTAAACAATGCAAGTGGGCCAAACAGCAAAACAAAGTCCATGAAAGAAAAACAGTGTCAAGAAGAAAAAATTGCAGAGAAAGAAAAAAAATAGAAATGAATTTTCTTTAAAGAATATTGGAATTCTTGTCTTAGACTCTTGAAGACTGAAAGTTTTGTTTTTTTTGTTTTTTTTCATTAAAGCAAAAATTAGAATTCAAATAACATACATCAGTCAGTTATGTGCCATGTGTGATACATGCTTAGGCTATCATGTATCAAAAAATACATGAGACTGACGAGGCAGATTTTTCCCCGCAGTAGGTTGCCATTTCTTTCTGTGGTAGATCAGTTGCCATCAAAGGATTTAGAACCTGGCCTGTCCTGCTAATTGCGCATAGCTGTGGGGAGAAGAAGAGGATTCATACTTTTTCCAAGGATATTAGCATGTAAGTGAATATAATGGATTTAACTGGAGTTTGAACTCAGCTCTCCGATTCCTAAGTCCGAGCTGCTATCTATTACTCCACCATGCCATAGTGACTGTTTTAATCCAGTACATATTGGGGGGTCACCACAGATCAATTTTTCTTGGGAAAAAGGGTTCATCAGTGACAATAAGTTTGATTCAAACTATCTGGCAATTCCTAGTGCGAATCAAATACTGTGTGTGATTTTTTTAAAAAATATGATTGATTGAAATCTGAGCATTAAATTGATGAATTCTGTGCCTAATATCTTAAGAATAAAGAATTTTGGTAATAAAAGTTGGTAATATATGTTGATGCTTTGCCAGTTTTTGTGGATGTGTTTGTGTGTTTGCATGCATTTTGTTTTCAGTTGCTACCCAGGGGATTTTATTTGTCAGAAATATAGGAATCAGTTGAAAAAGAGGAGCTTAATGTTTGTAGCAGCATGCACAACATGTCAGTTATTTTGCTTTGAACTTAAAAAGAAAAAAAAGAAAAATAAGATAGTTGCAAACGGTAATCTGAATATCAGTATTGGCCTAGACATAGTTCCTTCAATTTTTGTGTATAGATGCACACGCTATGCTCTAATTATTATTTTTATTTTTTTTTTTTTATTTGAGTGCAAATTCAATAGGAATGCATAGAAAATTAATTTTAGATTAAATACTGTTATTTATGTAATTGATATAAGGCTGATGTTAAAAACTCATTTACACCTCCTGGGTATGACAATGTGAAAGATAACCTCATAGTCACCCGGTGAAAGATAACCTCATAGTCACCCGGTGAAAGATAACCTCATAGTCACCCGGTGAAAGATAACCTCATAGTCACCGGTGAAAGATAACCTCATAGTCACCCGGTGAAAGATAACCTCATAGTCACCCGGTGAAAGATAACCTCATAGTCACCCGGTGAAAGATAACCTCATAGTCACCCGGTGAAAGATAACCTCATAGTCACCCGGTGAAAGATAACCTCATAGTCACCCGGTGAAAAGATAACCTCATAGTCACCGGTGAAAAGATAACCTCATAGTCACCGGTGAAAGATAACCTCATAGTCACCGGTGAAAGATAACCTCATAGTCACCGGTGAAAGATAACCTCATAGTCACCCGGTGAAAGATAACCTCATAGTCACCCGGTGAAAGATAACCTCATAGTCACCCGGTGAAAGATAACCTCATAGTCACCCGGTGAAAGATAACCTCATAGTCACCAGGTGCAGATTTGGTTAACCGAGCAGCGTTTATAATATGCACACATAGAACAACCAAAGAAAGGAAGATATATGACACACCCACCTGAGGGAAGAAGAAGAGTTTATCATCCTAGTGAGAATGTAGAAACCACACTCATTGAAATCTTAATAAAGATGATATGCCCTTCAGCAGGATTTGAACCTCTTTCAATCTTTGCAAGAGGAACCACCATCTGATCCGGCATGCTTTAACTGCTCAGCTACAAAGAGCAAAACAATAAAGCAATGTTCTATTTTGCTTTAAAGCACACTCACTTGTTCAGATTTTAAAAGCAAAATAGAACTTTGCTTTATTGTGAATATATTTGTAGCCAGGCAGTTAAAGCCTGGTAGATCAGATGGTGGTTCTTCCTGCAAGTGGAGGGGGGAGGTCAAAACTTCCCAGAGGGCACATTTTCTTTAAGTTTTCTCAAGTGCACAGACTGATAGGTAATATAAATACTGTTTACAATAAACGGAGCATCTATTCAAATACAGGTATCCACTAAAGATAACATTTGAATTAATATATATATATATATATATATATATATATATATATATATGTATGGTGATGATAGACTCTCCCATCGTTTTCGATGTACAAATGTCTTTCAGTTCAGTTTTATGCCAATGATTCGTATGAGACAACAATCCTGCATGGGATTTGCAAACAAAACCACACAAAGATTTTACCGTCATATGGGCAGATGTATTAACCTGAGATTTAGTCTTAATTCTTAATTCTCTCAGATGGTTGAGACAATTCTTTTCAAAGTTATACTTCGATAACAGGTGTTTCTCCAGTTTGTTCGGTTTTAAACAGCAAGTTCAAACTCCTCTATAGGGATGTTTGCAGCAATTTAATTGTATTTAAGTATATCTTTGAAGTGTAACCAAAGATGGCCTACATTATGCTTAACATGAAAAAGTTGGCTATACATGAGGATTTTTGGCATCTGATCATCACTCATTCTGATGACATAACCAGCCCATCTGAACTTTGGTTGCATCAAAAAGGATTCAATACCACCGATGTCACATTTGATAAAAAGATCAGGGTTAGAGATTTTGTCCTGCCATATATAACTGCATATTGAACAAAGACAGCATTTATGAAAAGCATTAAGTTGATTGATGTGCAGTTAACTATTTCGTCATCCAAAGAAGCACTTGAATTGACTTTGCTTCCTAAGTATAAAAATGATTTCACATACTTCAGTTTGCTGCTGCCAACAGTAATGGGAACGATTGGAAAGGTATAGGCAGGTGGTTTTTGTTTTACACCCTTGACCTGCTTAGGTGTAGACCTTAGTTGATAGACAACTTCAGTTTTCTTAATGCTTATAGTTAATTTGAATGCGTTGCATGAGGTGGAAAAATGAGCTTCTTCAATTGAGGTGACCATGATCACAGCGTCATCAGCAAACAAAAGATCACGAATAATTCTTTCTCAAGTCAGCGATTTTGATTTAAAATGTTGATGGTTAAAGAGGATGCCACTTGTGTTGAATTCAAATTTCACACTTATGTTAAAAATCACTAAAAGCATGGTGTAGCATGACCAAATATATATATATATATATATATATATATATATATATTATTATATAATATAGTGCCTGTTATTATAAAAACATGTGAAAACTATGTTGTTTTTTTAGTTTTCCTTACCCAAATGTAATGAAACCTTCCTTTTGAAGTATGGACAACCAAAAATGACAAAACCTGATATAAGCCAGAATGGCAAAAGGATATTCCCAACATTAAACATCATCAAATTATGGGCAACATTACACTTTTTTTTTTATCATTTAACCCCAAGTAAGGCAATAAAGCCTCTAAGATGCAAGGAGTTACTGAGTGTGAAAGAGTATGAGTAAAAGTGATACATTATTAAGGAGAGAGAACAATAAAAAACAGGAATTAAGAAGTCAGTGTATAATTAATATGATAGATATCAAAATTGAAATTTTTTTTAAAGTTAGAGAAAAATTTAAAGGATAAGAAATAATGGATGAGATAATTTTAAAATAATATGGTGTATTCTAACATTTTATACAAGTCAGTCTTTTTCTTTCATATGTCTTCTTATTGTCTGCATGTATTTGAACTTAATTTGGCAACACTGACATACGTAATCATGTGCAATAACACTTTTTAGTGCAACAGTAAACAAAAGACACCATTTCGGGGTTAATGTTTCATTTCCACCTTTCCAATTTTTGTGCAACATAGGTGAGCAAAGCAGGTTCCGATAATGATAACAAAACAACACATGCTGTCTGTCTGTTAAACAATGTTACAAACTACTAAATTCCTTGATAGTGACCATTATCATATTAAGAAATGTGTTACAGATCAAGCTATATACCAAGGGTCGGCAACCTTTTGTAGTGAGAGGGCCAGAAAGCTATTCAGTATCTTGGAGGAGGGTCATGATATCAAATTTACTATAATAAGGCAGGTCTCAATAAGGTCTCAACCCTTGACCGCTATGTCCAGAAGACTGCCTTGGTCTGGAGGTTTAAAGAAAAAAACAATAAAGTTAATGTTACAGTGTAACCCGGATATAAGAGACCCGGATATAAGAGACCCGGATATAAGAGAGATTTTCTCTGGTCCCAAATTAGAGCCTGTGTTAGTTAATCTATATAAAATAGACCAAACCCGGATATAAGAGAAACCCGGATATAAGAGACTCCTTCTCCGGTCCCGACAACTCTCTTATATCTGGGTTACACTGTAGTAATTCTTTAAACAAGTTTCCTTATTTTACTGCAGGTATAACTAACAGAATCAACAAAAAAATGAAAATTCCTTACTACAAATGAAATACAGTTAAAAATGGCAAATCATTTAATAAGACACTTGTTTCTGCTGATAGTTCTGATTACTTCTCCACATCAGGTGACATATTTGTCAGCAACAGGAGCAAAACATCATCCAGGCGGTTATCCACCAACCTTGTTTGAAAAACGATTTTAGTATATTTCATTTTCGAAAAAAGTTGTTCACAGGCATATGTACTTCCAAATAATGATACCATTCAATAGGTTTTTATATTTTCCGCTTGGCAAAATATATTTCTTGTAGAAGTCAGCAGTGGATTTTGATTTTAAAAATTTGTTGATAAATTCCAACTGATATGTTTTTGCCACTTGCTCCACAAAATTAATTAAATAATTTGTGTCTAGGTGTTAAAGTTGGTGGGCCAGATAAAAATCTTTTGTGGGCCAGATATGGCCCAGGGGTTGCCGACCCCTACTATATACAGTGTGTAAACTGAAAGATATAAGAATTTTTTACTCATTCAATGAATAAAAACCTAATTAAAATCTAAGATGCATCCACTAAAGACTTGTGAAGAGTTATTCAAAGCCAATGAAGCTCCAAATGTGTTTAAAATGTTGATGGCCTTCATTAGGCTATCCTGTCTTAGATGCACCACTGCTGATACAGATGCAGTACATGTGATGCCCCTGTGACTCTAATGGGATATAGAATTTTATGATTTGACATAATTCTTCATAATGTTGCAGAGAGTAAGATATTTAATACAAGAGAAACAGTCAAAGTAAAACATTTATCAGAGTGTTATTCACATTATCTACCCTCAGATTATTGTCCTCATCTTTGTTGTTGTTGTTATCAAAATGTTTCAGCCATTGTGCCCACTACCTTTCTTCAGGTTCTTGTCAATCAAGGTAAAACTGAACCTTTTATTTATTTTACAGGGGCAGGTTGTTCTTCATGTTTAGAGATATCTAAAAACGAAGTATCTTTAGAGATGGATAGCAGAACAAGAACAATCTACTTTAATGTATTTAATAAAGGATTCAGTTTGAAATTGCCTGAAAGTTACCTGTCTCAACAAATACCTAAGGAAGGTCAGTGGTCACAATGGTTGAAATGTGATAACAACAACAAAGATGAGGACAATAGTCTGAATGTAAGTAATGATAATCTCCTTCCTATGAATTCAGACAGAAATTATCAAACTTTTTTTTTTTTTTTTGTGTAGTGCCCCACCCACCCAAATAAAAAAAAATTCCTTACCGAATTCCTTTTTTGACACTTTCAAACATAAGAACTGCGCGACTGGGTTGAGGTAACTTTGGAATCTTTGGAGCTTTGTGACTGCCAATTCCTAACCGTTTAGATCTCTGTGGGGGCTGTGTATAGACCCTAGGACTCCTGCGCAGTGTCTCACCCAAAACAGGTGTGCCAGGAGCAGATCGTGGCCGCACGTTAACCATGCCAGCAAATGATTTGCTCCTAAACACAGTCACAGGCATTTGGTTTCGATTCTCTTTCAATGACATATTGTCTTGATGTCTGGGGCTGTTCTCACAATTGTTAATGTTATTCTTTCTATTATTATTATTATTGTGGTCGTCTTCGTTGTTGTCGTCGTCTTCTTCTTCTTCTTCATCCACTACCTCCTCTCTTTGATTTGTGTGGCTGTCACTGGCAAGGATACCCTCCTGCTGCTCAGTGATGCTCTCAGTATCACAGTTGTTGTTGTTGTCGTCGTCGTCCTCCTCCTCCTTGTTGTTGCCTGTATGCACACTGTCGTTTTTGTTGCTGCCTTCTTCTTCTTCCTCCCCCTCCTCGTCACCACTGTCCACATTTAGGTTGCAGACATCAATATCATGCAACTCATTACCGGTCATAAAGCTCAGTTCTGAAAGTAGACAAAATGCTCTCGTCAAAATCTTTCTCTCAATAAAACAAAAGTAAAGCATCCATCAATGCAGTGATCTTTATTTCTGTTTGTAACAATTCAAGTAAATCTTTAATTCATGCAATCATACTAATTAAAAGTAATGGAACTAATGTGAAGGATAACAAACTAGGATAAACTTTAATTAATAAATCTTAATATATTCATTGAAATATTTCTGGGTATAAAATTTTTTTTTTGTGTCGGAGGGAACATTAATATGGGTATAAATCAAAGAGTAAACATGACCATACTTGAATTGTTAAGTAAAAAAATATGTACGATATACCAAATCATTTTACAAGCACATCAAACAAACACTTAAAAAAATAGCTTAATTTTTAGAATGCTGGATTATTTGAAAGCATTAAAAAGGTCCATCTCTAGTGAGACAGAGAAAGGAGTCAATCTCATTTTCAAACCTGGAGTAATAGAGTACTTCAATTTATGAACACTACTAAATAGACAGGAGGCATGGTGGATAAATGGATTGGATTGAGGAATCAGAGAGCAGAGTTTGAATTCCAGTTGAATTCATTACATTCACTTATGTACTAATACCCTTGAGAAAGGTATGAATCTATCTCTTCTTCCCCCCCAGATATGGGTAAAATAACAAGACAAACTAGGTTTTATAGCCTTGTGTGGCAACCAGTCCAGATGTAAAACTCTGAATTCAAACCAGCCTGGAGAGGGTTGAGTTCCGTCAGGCTGTCTTGCTCAAGATACACCATGATTCATGATTGAGATTGACTAAATAAAAAGTAGTCCCTAAATTAGGCATGGACAACCTCTTTCAAGCAGTGGACTACATGAGATATGGTTCAACAACAATCAATCTCATTTTCAAACCTGGACTAATAGAGTCCTTCAACTCATGAAGAGTACTAAATAGACAGCAGTCCCTAAATCAGGCATGGGCAACCTCTTTCAAGCAGTGGGTCATGTGAGATATGGTTCAACATAAGATGGTCAGCAATGCTCAAAACAATTCAAGGTAATTTTTTGTTGAAGGTTCTAACTAGTCTGGAAGAAGGAAAACTCTGAATTTAAAAAAAATGTCTGAAGAGGGATGATCTTGCTCAAGACACATCACTGCTGCATTTTAATTATCAGTAAGATCAAAATAAACAAAGGAGTGCTAAAAAGATTTGTCACCAAAAACAATGATCTAATGCAGTGATTATCAACTTGTATGCAATGAGAGGATTGTAGGCATGCCACATAAATTTTTAAAGTCATTAATTAAATTATTTTCAAAAGAAGTCCAAAGCACTATAATGTACATATAAAAATTAAAACCACTTTAAATTGATTATACAGATATATTATTGTTATAATAAATAAACATTATATATATATATATATATATATATATAAAAAACAGGCTTCTTTGCTTTTTTTTTTTTTTTGCAATAAACAATATCCCAAACGAAAATCGATCATGGCTAAAATCTTTGAAGATTTAATAGTATGCCAGTCCAAAATTTAACCTTGCAATGAAGATATTCCCCCCCCCACAAATACCATCAAGCTGAGATATCTCATTGAATGTTAAAATATAATAAACAGCCCCACTCATAACACAGTGATGAAACATCTCTGCATTATTAATGTCTGCTGCATAAACCAATTGTTTTAAGCAGACAAACATAAAAATCCAAAAAATTCAAGTCAGTGGAGCATGCAGGCCATGGAACCAATTCTTCCATACCTATCCATCTTTCATGGTAGATGTCATCTAGTGCTTCACAGGGGTACATCCTCTAGCAGGTCTGGAAGTCTGTTGGAAATAAAGTCCCTGTAGACATCTCCTGCAAGAGGCGCTGGAAGAACGTATACACCTACCAAACAGTCATCTACAATACCAGCCGATACAACAATCGTAAACTGATGTTAGTTTCTAACCTGTATTGTATCATGGGGATTCGAATCCACCGACAAATTTTGGTTGTGTAAATTTGTTATTCCGTCTCTTCCAAATGTTGCCTCATCCTTAAACAAGACTGAAGAGACGGATCAGCAGTTTGTGAAATAAACCATCGGCAAACGTTCTCCCATGGCGAGTGATCAGAGGGCAAAAGAACCTGCACATGCTGCAAATGATATGGGTACAGAAGCTGCTCTTGAAGTATTCTCCATGCAGCACTATAAGTTGTATGACATGCAAAGGCCGCAAGCAGATCTCTCTCTTCCCCAATCCATAGTTTGTACTGCTACAAATTCTGTCTCAGTAATGTGACAATAAAGAGCAGCAAAGGTTGACTCGGATTGCCTTTGGTCTGGAAACACAATCTGATACAACCATACACCATTGTGTCTATAACCACTCACACAACTGGATGTAAAAATCATATATGCTCATGATATGAGTATCCTGCAATTGTTAACCAAACACTTCTCAGTTAACTCACATACTTTAAACATTGAAGACAAACATTATTACATGCTTTAAACATTG